TCATATGGCAGATGTGCATTTCCAGGCCAGGCATTTTCCCACGAAATATGATGAATAAATTTCATATATAGGATCTACTGGAAGTCTTAAAAACTTGCTTATAAAACGAAAAATAGGCAATCTACGTGTGCTATAGCAACTATAATTTTGTCTCTTCGATAATCCTTGAAATTCGAATCTGCCCTGTGAAGCTAAGGCACTGGTGACAATGTGACGGAGTGATTAATGTGCCAAGATTACACGCTAAACTGTCATAGTTAGAGTCCTGCTGGGGTCGGTAATGAGGCCTTGCGAGGTCGAAACTGAAATCCATTCAAGCAGAGATGAGATTAACTTTTGGGAAAGCAAGACTGTGAAATTCAATGGAAACGCAAGGTCTACTAATAGCATTGTTGTAAAGTTCAGCTACTAGTCACCCCATCGACCTAAACGAAATAGGATGAATATATATCATATATATGATCCACTGGTAGTCTGAAAGCTTAAATAAACGTAGAATAAGATTTGATATTGCCGACGCAAACTAACACCCTGCGAAAATAGTCAGAATAAGATGTCTTAGAAGCTAGTCAACCACAAAAGTGATATTAACTGATTGATTAAGAGACTTAAGAGTAAGTGAGCTGTCTGACCTAAATAGATTTGTCTAGGGTAATCAATTTAAGGTAGTCAATTTAGAAAGGAACGGGAGGAAAGGATTAAAGAATTAATGACCTATCAAGAAAGTCTTTGTCAGTGAATAGAATAAATAGAACAAATACATGAGTCACGTACTCTTTGTATTGCCACACAACCGAATTTTGTTACTTTCCTCTTTACATCGAAAGGTTAAAAAGTCATTAAGTCGGTCAATGATCCTTTCTAATCGGTGGATGAATAAATGACCACTCTTGGAACTCAAAGAGTTGGCCAGGATAGTTAAATATAGTATCAAGATCTGATATATAGGCAACTCAGGATAAAGTCACGTGAAAGCCAGCATCTATCCCAAAATTCTTTCTTATCCAAAGCAATGTGAGTTCTACATCACCCAAGTGCGATCTGAACCATAAAACCCTCGGCACAGGTGGATTTAAATTTAGCGTGTTGACAGCATCACTCTAGTCTACATTAAGTATAAAGCACTGCAAAATACAAGGCAAGGTAAAAATGGCCAGGAATGTGAAAAATCGAAACAACTTAGGGTGGAAAATCAGTCACCTTGGTACTATCAAGACTAAGTAAAGTCCTACAAGGAATAAAAAGTAATTGACCGATTTCCGTGGGAAAATATAATAATTTAACAAGGCCAATGCAAGTATGTAAAGACCTGATTAAGCTTCGCAGCCAGTATTATCTGGATGGTGAGCATAAAATATCAAAGGTAATTATTTCAACAAGATTAGTGCGGCCGATGAAAACTGCTCTCTGTGATCAACGTTTTTATCTAAAAAAAGATGAACCATGGAGAAAGGTGTATAAAAAACAGAAGTAAATACTTCTACGATCTCTAATAAAAATAAAGAAAATTAGAAAACATGGAGGCCACTTACAGAGGCAAAATACCCTCTCGAATGTGCGGACGTACAAAGACTACGCCACTCGGAGAAATGTTCACATGACCTTTAAGTGCCTGTACGAAACGAAGAATATCACTTGAGGTATGGTTAAAGGATAATCTTTTAGTATAAAATTTCCTGACTAGTTGAGTTTGTTTATTTAAAAGAAATAATCCCTTGTTAGTTCACGACAGTGTAGAAAGGCGACTTCTTAAAGTTAGACTATACAATACATATCATCTCCTTTTTTCGACAATATAAAGCATCTTAATAACTCGGTTTTAAACATAGCGAATGGCGAAAGTTAGGAATGCATACTAGGCGAAAAAAAATATCAATTTTTGATCTTAGTCATTCATTTATCTAACGATTTAAATGTTCAAGAAAACAAATTGAGAGATACGTATAAATTCCGAAATTTTGTGATTCATCCATCCATAAAAAAGCCCTAACATACAACCATTACGACCAAATAAGGAGATTAGTATGTTTGTGCTTGAAATATATATGAAGACCAATATGTCATAACCTCTGTTTTGGCCGCAGCTTTCTTTCGATGTAAAAAAAGAAGCATAACTTCGTCTCCCAAATTGGCTATGTTGACAGGGCGACCTAGTATGGCGTACATTGTCCGAAGTCCTTTTCTATACTAATGATAATTCTCAGCGTTGGACTGTGGGCTTGTTACATTGCCAGACTTTTCGCCGGCATAGTCAGTGAATCTCGTTAACTGATTTAACTCGGTTTCAGTCGCGGTATAATTTTTACGCCAGACACAATTTCTCGTAGTCTGACAGAAACTTTTGGTTTCATCTATAGTTTGGCCTAACATATCAAAGAGCCTAGACTGATTCCCATGCTTTCAGACATCAGGTATTGTCTCAAGAGTTTATTATAAGCAAACTACCAACGAATATCTCTATTCGCCTGTTGCCTCTCAAGTGGATTTCTAGTCAATTTGGATATTATTCCTAATGTATTTGAAGGTTGCGATTATCAGTTTTTCTAGTCCTGTGAATTCTAAATCCCTGAAGTTGCAGTTGTTTCTTCGAGCAGACTACACTCAGTGGAACGCCTTCATTCGATTTCCGATTGTTCTTCACCGACGTCTTCCTTGTAATCCTTTTTACTCAGATAATGATAGCTCCTTGATATAAGCATTTTCTTTTTGCTGTATCCTTATTTTATCTGAGTTTTCTAAGGGCTAGCGCTAACTCTGCCTTCTTCCAATATCCTGCTCATTAAAGCTCTTTCTGTAAGGCTGTCTATGGCCTCCCTAACCTTCCGTTTTCTTGTTTTATGCTCGTATGAGGCCCTTCGTTCTGTTGCCTTCCAATTTATATCGAGTTCAGTCTGTGCAATGTGTTCCGTTATTTCCGATCTTTCGGTATTTATTTACCTGCAAAGCCTTTGATGTTTCTTGATTCGAAGATTGATTTATCTATCTGTTTCCTTAATATATTATTATTTCCAGATCCTGCGCGTTGAGCAGCAAATTCCCAAGCAACCCAATTTGTCTAGCCTCATATGGTACATGAGTAAACTTGTGAAGTGCGTTGTTTTTCCAATCGTGGTCAACTTAATATTCTAACTTCGTAATGTTGGCTATAGTTTTTGGGTTATCGAGCAATAATAAAATTGAAAGGGGGCAAGGTAAATAGAAAAGTGCGATACGCCCAACTAAGTTCGCCAAAAAGGCACAACTCTATAGAGTGATTAGATATAAACAAGCCAGATGTTCTGATAGGGTGGAAATGAGATAAGAGGATAGGAAGTAAGAAGATGTGTCAGGACAGAAAGACGAGTAATAGCACAATCATTGGGTAGAAATTTGGTCAAAGGAACGACTTTAGTTGTATTTTTGACAGGTTGTAGCTTGGTGCTGATAATGGCTAGATTCCCTGACAATGTCGACAAAACGGTACAACACTTGGAGCAAGGTGCGTACAGCTAGATCGCTCTGACAACACAAACAAGTTTAAAAATTTGGATAAAAAAGTTCGAGGGTAAATTGATATTTCAATAAAGGTCACTTGGTCGAATTTAAATTTAGATTCAAGAGAGTAGAGGAAATAAATAGTCATTGAAAGACAAAATATCTCGGAACACTACTTTAATTCTAGAAATAAGACTTGGAACAAAATGTAAAGACCAATTGTACAAAAAATTATGCTCTTAGGCAGGTCTAAATAGCGTTAATTAATTAATTATGTTTTAATTATACAAACCTGCAAAAGACCTCCTGGGACAATGTGATCGAGGCAACCGAATTTGAAAAACAAATCTTCCCTGAAGTTAGAACGTCAGATAAATAAAATTATATTTAAAATGCGAGGCAGTTTAAAAAAATACGATATTTAGGGCAGTTAATAAAGAGGATAGATATAATAGCAAAATATTTAACGTATTATAATATGATAAGAATAATAACAATTTTATCCAGATGAAGAGTTAAATAAATAAGCACTGGATACACAAAACTCAAGAAAGGTCAAGGCTAAAAATTCATTCACATATGCCAATTTAACAATATTGTTCAGAGACATCCAAGCTAAATCGTCAACCAGGCTTGCTTTACGTTATAATGTCATGGGATATTCATTTTATATAGCATCACTTGCTACCAAGATCTGAATGGAGTACAAATAAAGAGTGTAATATTTCATATTCTTACGGAGTAACTCAGATAAGTAATTGCTTTGCAGTAAGGGAAGAGTATAGTTCAATTCCACGAGAAATGAAGTGTGAATAGATTTCCTATTCAGAGAGGTATAAATCACAAATTCAGAATACTCCTAATGAATCTCACGCATAAGCAAATTCCTGGAAGCACTTAGCTCAGTGATTAGGATAAAAGTCAAAAATCGTGTTTATGGGACATCTACTTTTTAGTTTAACTAATGTACTTAGCACTGTCAAACCACGGCACACACTTATTTGTATTAAGACTTAATTTCAGTTTATCAGCACTAAACATGGAGGCTATCAGACTAAATGTGGCAAGCATAAGTACTTCTAAAAAAATTTAAAAAAATAAGTACTGTATAGTATTCAGAAGAGGTATTAAAAGGATGCTTATTCGAGTAAAACAGAATTGTGAGGTTATGGTCCTAGAGCACTAGGTAATTTCAGCAAAAAATTAAAGGAATTTACTTAATAGATGTAGTTAAGAGGGCCAAAGAGATACAAAGAGATGCATATCTAACCCCTTTGAAATGCAACTAAGTCTGCCAAGCGAGGTGGAATAGCAGTAGTTGTACGCGATTGCAATCGAAGGATATAGAGACTGAAAATCAAGCACTAAGATAGGCCCATCCGTATAGAGACCACTCATAGGCTCAAGGATTAATGGGATTGTTTCTGGGGGCAGTTGGCTGGCTCGCTGACGAACAGAGGGGCTGACCAGCAGGAAGTTGGCTCGATGGGCAGAACGTAACAGCAGAGATTCCACACGATACTAAGACGACAAAAGATAGAAGGTATTAATTGTGTATAACAAGTCCGACTAGGGTCAATTTAAATTACAGAAAGTTCATGTGCTTGCAATGAAGCATGGAAGGCCCAGATATTCAGCAAGGAAAATGGGCTTTGTGATTAGAAATAAAAGTGATTTTTACGCTGCAATAGTAAAAGCACAAACATCAACCTAATTTGGTGATAGGGGCTAAAATTGGATCTGCCCATTAGTCTTAGTGATATGAAATTAATAATCCTTTAATTTATATATATATATATATATATATCGTGATTATCCATCCATCGCAATAAATATTCTGGTTCAACGAATTAGCAACTACCACTTTCGAGTTGGATAGTCTTCAAGCCAGCAAATAATAAAAACCATTCAATCATGTATTACTAAACAAAAGCAGCTTTAGCAGTTTGTAAATATCAGTAAATGCAAAATTTAAGCAAAATATGTATCACAGCTAGAAAATGTGCAGAAGGTTCAGAAATTGTAAATTTACATAGGAAAGCAGAAGTGTCAATTCGTCTAATTGCAGGTAGATATGGATGGTCTTGCGTTTTCCAAAAAACAACGCCAAAATCTATGTAGCTCCCTAGTTCAGACACGAATTCCAGCTGCATAATGAGCTCTAAGCACCCAAAAAATCATGTGTATCTGAGAAAGAGTACAGACGTAGTCCACTATTGTAGTTAAACTAATATAAACGCAACGCATCAATCACTTATATGAACAACTGGAATGTCTGAATCATGTTATAAACCAAAAAAAATTAAGTTAGTTAATGATATATGCCCGGGTGGAGATGTACAAGGTATATACATAAAAAGAATAAGTGAATGAGCAAAAAGTGAAGTAGGAAACTCAAAACGAACCTGACTTCCCCTAGAGAGGACATGGTAAAATTCGATTCCGAATATTCTAGCAAACTCGCTTGTTCGCCCCACTAGATCAACACACTCGACGAGGCGAAGATTTAAAGCAGCACGACTAAGCCAATAATCAACAGTACGCCAACTGAATGAAAAAAATTATGATTATTATAAAGTTAGCATTAGTCAAAGAGTTTATAGCAACTATTTCAAGATAAACTTGACAGGGTGATTCAAAGACGAGAGAGCAAAGATTTATCTTCTATAGAAAATCTTAAAAACGGACAATTTAATCTGGAATTAATAGGTGTAAAGTCAAAAGGGACCTATTTTTAATCACAACTGCCAGCGAAAGACCTATGCTAGTAAAATAAAATGCTT